ACTTCATTCATCTTGATGCACATACATGTAACATTTTACCATGGCTATCATTTTTTCTCTGGTTGTTGAAAAGAATAGTATCACTTTTCATCTAATTCACAATGCCACTTCAGTATCATTCAGTCTTCTGGGTCTTGCTTTTTTCTGATTGTGTTTATCTGTTTGTTTGTTTTCTTTAGACAGGGTCTCATTATGTAGACCTGGATGGGTCCCTAAGCCTCTAGAGTGCTAGGATTACAGGCACTGCCACATTCAACTTCCAAGCTTTTAAAAACACAGCAATGGTGTTTATATTTCCTGATGTCTTTGCTCATTTTGTATTGTTCCTTATTTCAGAATATTTATACAGTTACCATGTAATTATTTTACTGACTAATTAATACATGCATTTTTCTCCTGTGTTGAAGTGAATACTTATAGTTAAAATGCACAATAACCATATTATGTAAATACTAGTATCACCCATTTGAAATAGAAAAGTCATATCAACATGGCTTAATAATGTACTGCTGACTGCAGCAGCTGGTAGACAGCAGAGCTATGATTTAAACTAGTTGAAGTTCAGACCCTTAACCACTACTCTGCTTTGCCTGGGAATAGGTTCCCTCAGCTTTTCTTGGGGAAGGGGGAAAGAAAAGGACTAAATCATCTCCTTTTTTCCTGAAATGACCATCACATAGAAGATATTGATGTTGGTGAAGACATCCATTTAGATTTGTTGTACATGCTCCTCTCTTTGAATGTCTATACCTTTCCACATAGCCTGTCCCATCCCAGGAATCATTTTAACCACAGTTTGTGTAGTGAACCCAGTGGACTTTACTTTCGGATACAGAGACTGTTGTTCTAATACTCCAGACCTAGTTCACCAAGAGGAGCAGAGGAGCCTGGGGCTCATGATGCTACTGTGTTCTAAATGTCCCAACAGTAACTATGGGAAAGTGAATTAGAACATCATGCAGTCTCAACCAAGAGCCCTCTCTCTTTAAATGTCTTTTTTTTCTTTTCTACTTTCATCCTAGTCGCTACCAGTCTTTGCACATCCTGCTCAAGTCTTTCAGGCCTTTAAGCTCCTAGTAAGAGCAATTATTGCCAGTGAGAATTGAGTTTTCATCACTCTCAGTCCTTAATAGGAATGTGTACTCTGGTGCCTGGTACATTTTCCTCAGGTCTGACATGACCAAGTGTGCTGGCTAGTTTTATGTCAACTTCAGATAAACTACAGTCATCAGACAGTGTGGGAGGCCATCCCACACCCACTTTTCCCCAGGGTACCCTTGAGCAGGAGCAGCAGGAAATATTAGATAGAAATTTAGAGGGGAGAGAAACAGATAGAGAATACAGGATAGCCTTGAGAGGTCCTGGACCTAATCCATTGGGCCCCAATTGACTCTGCCAAAGGGCGGTTTAAGGAATGCTAAGGGGTGGAGCAAAAGACCTCCCCTCAGCACAGCCAAATGCAGACCATCTCAGACACCTGGTACTCAGGCCTATGGTTCAAGCATCCTTTTATGCAGACCTGCTTGGTAAAGCCACTAGGAAACCCAAATGGGCCCCAACAAGACAGAAGGGAGTCTCAGTTGAGAAAATAAAGATTGGGCTGTAGACAAGCCTGTGGGACATTTTCTTAATTAATGACTGATGTGGGAGGGCCCAGCTCATTATGGATGGGACACTCCTGGACTGGTGGTCCTGCGTTTTTAAGGCAGCAGACTGAGCAAGCCATAAAGAGCAAGCCAGGAAGCAGTACTCTTCCCCAGCCTCTGCATTAGCTCCTGCCTCCAGATTCCTGCCCAGTTTGAGTTCCTGCCTTGGCTTCCCTCAATGCACCATGATTCAGGACATGTACCCTTTCTTCCCTAAGTATCTTTTGGTCATGGTATTTCATCGGGGCAGTAGAAATCCTAAGACACTGAGAAAAAGACCTGCATTTTCTCACTTACAGTTTCTTCCATCTGACTAACCTAAGGGCTTCTAGCTTTGCACAGAAGCAGGCTGTGACCAGATGGCCCCAGGCCCCCATACTGCTCTATTTGCAGAAGTTTCTCAAAGTTTCTTTGCAGATCTAGAGTATCTAGTACCCAGCAGATAAAATAGTTTTGTCTTCTTTTTAAACATTCCATTTTAAGATGAATTGAGAAAAGTTGTGTCTAGGAGATATAGACACATTTATTCAAAATTGCTGCTTTACCCAGAATTCTAAGTATCAGATTACAAGCCACCAAATGGAGAAAACCGTAACTCTTATAATTTTCCTGATACAATGTTCTCAAGTGCCAGGACATTGTTGCATCTAAGTAGTGAGAATGGATTTGGAGCTTTGGCAGGACTGTTTGTGGAAAGCCCATCCACTGAACAGTTGATATTATTGGAGGAATTTGAAGGGGCAAATATGGGGATGTGGGTTTTCACAGAAACACATGAGGGAAAGACTAGCTTGAATTATCTATAAGCCATCTTCAGTGACATCACCACTCTGAGATGAGCAATTCTGTTGAGAATGACGACTGCTCATCTTTCTACCCAGAGAATCGTTTGACAGAAACATCAAGAAACAGATGTAATGTTTTAAATGACACTCTGCTTTTTGAACTCTGAGTGCTTCCAAACATCAACACTATTCCCAGCGAACCCCACAGCCAAACTAATGATCACCCTGACATTCTTATATGATGTGAAGACCTAAAGAATGCTGAACACCTGGCTTGTACCAGAGGAGCCCTGAGAGCCAAGATGCATGAAAATTGGAATTCTTGCTTCCTCTGTTGTCCTCCATAGCGTCTCTTGCCTCTTTGCTAAATATCAAAGATATTTATGCTTAAACAAATGTCTTCCTCTTAAGCATCCTCTCCTTCTGGCAGATAAGTCATCCTACTGAATTGGAGGCACTTTCCATGGCAACAGACTGTGATGTCAGAAGCACCGTGCCAAGCCATTAGATCTTGTAGGTGCCACAGTAGGAAATACGCTGCTCTGAGCATGATGGCAAGCCAGAGCTGCTGTAAGCCAGAAGGAACCTCAGCAGTCTGTGTGTCTAATGCTTTCTCTGAAAGGCCCATGGCTGGAGAAGGTGGGAAGCAAATGAAGCTGGGTGAGAGGGAAAGAGGATTGTTTTCAAGACAAGATTTTAAAGGGGAGATGTGTTGATGAAGGAGATTTGAAGAGGGCCACAGCCAGATGGCTGGCGTTCCGCCACAATCCATGGCTTTGATGCTTCGCAGGTGTTTTCTAAGGTGTTGATGGGGAAAGCTCCAGAGACATGCTGTCTCATTGAAAGACACAAAGACTCAGGACCTGGGGAATGAACAGAATCTTGTGAAGCTGAAGTGTGGGGACTTTGGCAGTTTCACTGCTTTCAAGGAAAGAGCACCTTGACGGCCCCCACTGAGACCCAGGCTTTGCGGATGCTCCATGGGGGTGTTAGTTTTGCAGCAAAATCCTTCAAGAGGCGTCAATAGATGTTGACCTCTACCATTGCTGATGTGAACAATGGGCCTGGGAGGATTTTAAGACCAACTTTTAAAAAAAAATTGTAGCCAATGTTTTGCAGGTCTTTATCAAATAGCCAAGAGTTTGAAACCAATACCTGTGAAAAATCATAGATGAAGTTTTAAAATACACAGAGCAGTAATACAGTATAGATAAATTTGGACCACATATGGCTTCTTATGTAAAGGAAAATTTCTTCTCCTTTTAGTAACACATTGTCTGCTGCCTGTGATCAGCACCTCCTGCCATATGTTCCTTAAACAAGCTGCTGCGATTCAAGAAGCAGCCCTGGTAATTAAGATCAAATGAGCCAGATGAAGAAAATGAGCTGGCTAAACCACATGCAGGCAAACCCAGTCTTTTCATTTTGAAACCAAGGCAGACAGACAGACAGACAGACAGACCCAGAAGAAAGAGAAATTTCAACTCTTTGCCAATAGACACATTGCAGGGTTTAGATGCAGTCATCTATCTTTGGGTTATTGCTAACATTCATGCATTTGTTTTCAATTGTTCTGATTCCATTGACTGGTTCTATTGAAGTACATGTTGTTAGAGGTCAGGGCACTCCTATGGCACACGGTTTATTTTTTCAGGATAAAAAAATATAACATGGCTTGAAACACATTACAAACCATTTTGGATTAAGCCCAGAGCATTTTGAAGATCCTTTAGTCTCCAACACTCACGCTGTAATAGGGAAGTTGAGGTTCAGAGAGTGGATAGTTGTCCTCTGGTTGCTGAATTAGAGTAAGAACTTAGATTAGAACCTGAGGCTTTTGAATCGCTCAGTAATTCTCAAATTTGAGTGTACATTAAAAAGCTTTGGAGGTCACAAGGCATGGTATGTAGGCCTGTGTGTAATCCCAGCTACCTAAAAAGCAAAGGAATGAAGATTGGAAGCCCAAAGCCCAGCCTGAAGGATGTAATGAATCCTAGCCTCTCAATATAAAATATATGTGCTGGATAAATGACTCAGTGATGGAGAGTGCAACTCCTCTTGTAGAGAATCCAAGTTTTGTTCCTAACACTCATTTCAGGCAGTTCACAAATACCTGTAACTCCAGCTCCAGGGGGATCCAATGCCATGTCTCCGCCCTTGGCAGACACCTAAACATATGTGCATGCACACACATGTGTACACATAATTAACAATAAAAGCCCACACACATATATGTGTGTGTGTGTGCCTGTGCAAGAACATGTGTACATGTGAAAGAGTTCGTAATATAGCTCAATGGTAAAGTGTTTGCCAGGAATTTGCAAAGCCATGGGTTCAGTCCCCAATAACAACAAAACAAAAACAAAGCCAAACAAATAAAAACCTGGAGGACTTCTTAACAGATGGAAATTCCCACCCTCACCCACCTGGAAAGACCCTTCAAATACTAGTTCCCACTGATGTGATGGTCAAGATTGGTGTAAGGCAGGGAACATGAAGCATGGAATTCTATCCTCCAGTTAGATAGTCTACATTCTACAGAAGTTGTTTAGAGATCCTTGAGTTTCCATGGAGATGGCTCAGAGAAAGTCAGTTGTGCATGAAGGCTTCATGGTAGCTGAAGAACCAGGTGGAGGAACCAAACGACAGACGCCCAGGCAGTAAGTGCCATAGCAGCCTAACTCTTTGGCTCAGAAACAACCATAGAAAAAAACCTACTCAGGGACTGGATTCTTTGCATGGAGCTCCCTGTGTCACCAGCTTCATCCATTAACATATAGCCTGTTGATTAACTGAAAGGGTCCTTTACTCAGCCTGGTCATTAAATATTAAAGGAAGATCATAACTACAGGGTGTGAGTCAGAGGAAGTTAGTACACGCTTATTTACCTGGCAGGTGGGAAAGCCTCTGTTAAGATGAACTTGCCCTGCTTTTCTAAGGGAGCCATGAATTCACTATCAAAATAATTGGGTCAAGTGTGTAAAATGAATTGCTAAATGATCTCATTAATAAAAAAAACCTGGAGTCAGATATTGGGGTGATAGCTGAGAGATCAGAGGAATAGAACAAGCCATAGCCAACCTTACCTTACCAACTCCTCAGGCTCCAGAGAGAGCTACTTCCTGTATACTCACGCCTATATACCTTTCTTTGCCCTGCCATCTTACTTCCTCTCTCTGCCCAGCTACAATACTTCCTCTCTGTCTGTACAGACCTCCAGACCTCTATGGTTAACTAGCACTGGGGTTAAAAGCGTGAGCAACCATGCCTGGCTCTGTTCCCAGTGTGGCCTTGAACTCACAGAGATCTGGATGGATCTCTGCCTCCTGAATGCTAGGGTTAAAGGCATATGCTAACACTGTCTGACCTCTATGTTTAATATAGTGGCTGGCTTTTTCCTCTAATCCCCAGATAAGCTTTGTTGGGGTGCATGAATAAAGTATCACCACACAAGTGTTATGGTTTGTTGGATAAATGCACTTACCACCAGGCCTGATAACCTGAGCTTAATCTCCAAGCCCCTATGATCAAAGTAGAGAATTGATTCTTCAAAGTTATTCTCTGACCTGACACACATACTGTGGAACACCTGTGTGCACACTCATACACACATAAGAAATGATAAATAAATAAAATGCAATATTTTTCTTGCAAAGAATAAAAATTGTAGAGCTGGGTACACACTTGTAATTCCAGAACTTGGGCAATGTGAAGAATCAGTAGTTCAGGACCAGGGTCAGATACATAGCTAGTTTAAGGCCAATTTACTCTACCTGAGACGTCATCTCAACAAAACCAAAAGAAAGAACTTTGAAAACATGCATGACAGAAACAGGTGATATTGTAAGTTATGAGTGGTTTGTACAATAAACATATATTGACCTTTAAAAAAACATGCTATATTGCACTCAAATAATGAATATAACAGAAATACACCAAAAGTGAAATGAGGAATGAGGCATGAATACGTAAATCACAGGAGAATGAGACTACAACATGAAGAGACCATAACTAAAGAAATGTAAATTCAAACACTGAGGTCCAACATTTTGCCTAAGATTTTTGCAAACCTTGAAAATGAGGAAAAATTTTAAATATTTATAGAGGTAGTCTTTTGTGTTCTTTTGGAGAAATTGTAGGCATTTAGAATCTAAGTTTAGAAAACAATGTTAATAGCAAAATGTACTGAAAGTTTTACCTTCCTTTACAACTTTTAACTTATTGTTCCACTTCAGTGAATCAATTCTAAATCAGCAATAACAATAAGAGCTATAAAAATATTTGCTTAAGAGGATATGTGTCATCTTAATATTTATATTAATAAGTAGCTTGAAATAATTTAAATACTCAAACATGTAAAACAATTGAATATTACAAAGGTTTCTTTAAAAAAAAACCCTGAAAATTGTATTACTGTAATACTCAGCAATCCTACTTCTGGATATATAATCAGAGGCATCAAAATTGGTAAGTATAGAGACATTCATAGCCAGGCAGTGGTAATGCATGCCTTTTATCCCAGCTCTTGGGAGGCAATTGCATGCAGATCTCTGAGTTTGAGATCATCCTGGTCAAAAAAAAAAAAAAATGAGTTTTGGCCAGGTGGTGGTGGCGCATGCTTTTAATCCCAGGACTCGGGAGGCAGAGCCAGGCGGATCTCTGTGAGTTTGAGGCCAGCCTGGGCTACCAAGTGAGATCCAGGAAAGGCGCAAAGCTACACAGAGAAACTCTGTCTCAAAAAACCAAAAAAACAAAAACAAAAACAAAAAACTAAGTTTTAGGACAACCAGGGCTACACAGATAAACCCTGTCTTGAAAAACAAACAGAGAAAGAGAGAGGAACATCTATATTTATTTTAGCACGATTTAAAATAACCAAGATGTGAAAGTAACCGAAGCATTTGTTAAAATTAGTATATAAGGAAAAATTACACATGTAGGCAATGAAATATTATATATAGTCTTAAAAGAATTTCTGTTTTTGTAGCAATATGGGTTAATGTAGAAGAAATGATGAGAAGTAAAAGTAGACAGATATTATTGCATAATCTCACTTTATGTCAAATATAAATATGTCAACCTTATAGGAATAGAATGAAAGAAAAGGTACTAGGCAGAGCAATATTATGCATTTTCCATCTTTTATGCAACAAAACACTTGTTTTGTTTTTGTTTCATTGTAGCATGAATCTTAAAAGAGTCTTATTAATAAAATCAAACCTGAGCCAGGTATTGAGGTGAACTGGAAGCTCAGAGAGACAGAACAAGCCACAGCCACCTCACCTCGCTGGATCCTCAGCTGGTCTTGTTTCCTCAGACTGGAGGCCTCAGAGTCCTCATCCAGAATGGGTCTCAGCTGAACTGTGCTGCTCAAAACCTAAAGGCTTAACCAGCCAAATGCTTCTAGTTTCTGGTCCTCACGCCTTATACACCTTTCTGCTTTCTACCACCACTCCCTGGGATTAAAGGCTCGCTTTCTGAGATTAAAGGAATGAGTCACCATGCTTGGCTGTATCCTGGAACAGATGGATTTCTGCTTCTGGAATGTTAGGATTAAAGGCGTGTGCTACCACTGCCTATCCTAAGTATCTAGTGGCTTTTCTGTTCTCTGACCCCAGATAAGTTTATTAGGGTACACAATATTTTGG